CAGTGGATCTGATGTGTTCCTGTGACCTGGGCTCAACTGTGCCAATTTCCTCTCTCACTTCTGAGCGTGCTTCCCTTCAGATTGTAACGATTATCCTGCCAAATTGTTCAGGCATTAACTTACTAAAATGTCTCATTTATAGTCATCCTTGCTAAGGAAGAAAGGATGGCGTAATAACGGACCTCGATCATGGAAGTACCCGGTCATCCAGAACAGACCCACTCACCCCACCAAAGACATGAAGATGTGCATTTACACACTGAACTTAGAACCAGCGTGTGAGTGTGGGTGTGGGAGAGAGAGAGAGAGAGAAAGAGAGAGAGAGAGAGAGAGAGAGAGAGAGAGAGAGAGAGAGAGAGAGAGAATGATCACATCATCACTAACATGGTGTGTTATTTTAAAGCTGATGCCATGATTCCCTAATCCAAGACATACTGTCTTCCAGGATTTGACAGTCACTTAAGCCAGTAAATTCCTCATGTTGATTAATTCCTCATGTTGAGTTTTCTGAGCAACTCCGAGAGTCCTAAGACTGATCCACTCTGACTTCTTCCTATATTTAAAGATTGACAGGTCAACAATGTCATGTATTTTTAGCCACACATTTTTCATGTTTAGTACATGAGTATACATGTGTGGAAGGGTTGTGCACACATATGTGTGCATGTGTGTATGAGGACCAGAGGACAGCCTCGGATGTCATCTTCAGGAGCCATCCACTTCCCTTGAAGCAGGGTCTCTCGTTGACTGGACGCTTACTAGCTAGCCTTGACTAGCTGGCAAGTGAGCTTCTGGGATTCCTGTTTCCACCGCCACAGCCCTGATTTAATTAATACAGTTTCTGTGTGAATATTTTGAGTCTGGGCAGCCATGAAACAAAGGAGCGGTCTCTGTCAACACCTTGAGTCTTTTCTCCATGACTACAACTTCCTTGGTGTCTATGAACTATGGATCTTGACTCTTTCCTTTATTCCCCAAGTCAGGCTGATAATAAAGCTTTACGATGCCAAAGAGTTGTTATGAGAGAAATAACTGAGTTGAGAACAGGAGACAGCTTGCCTCTATTCCTAGTTCATGAAAGGGTCCTCTCTGGCCCCTTCCCCTGAAGTCTCTGACATGTGCCCATAGCTATATCCATGGTGATAGATAGGGTCTGAGACTAAGGAGAGGGCTCATTGTGGAAGAGTGTTTGCCATCCTAGCATGAGGATCTGAGATCAAATCTCCAGCACCCATATAAAAAGTAGGGTGTGGGCTCAAGCACCTACAATCCCATCACTGGATGCTAACAGTGGAGACAGGAGACTTTCTGAGGCCAGCTGGCTGCCAGCCCAGCTCCAAGTTCAGCAAGACTCTTAAGACAAAGCGATAAAGTAGGACACTCAAAGTCCTCCTCTGGCCTCCATACACACACACACACACACACACACACACACACACGCATGCATGGCTGACATGTTCTTCACTACCATTCTCCCACATCTCCCCATGACTATATAGCTCTGTGACATCCTGAAGTCAGGCTATCAACAGGCAAAACATTCAGATTGCAGCATCTGCTGACTCATGCGTCACTGATACTGCTCCTCCCTAACCACGAGTGTGTATCCCACGTCTGTGACTTGTCAGGGGACATGCCAGGTGAACCAGCCCCTCCACTGGGCCCACCTCACCTTCCAATGTTGGATCTTAGAAACATTCCCATTCAGGTCACTTTCCCTCAGGCCTCCCCTTCTCTCTCCCCCTTCCCTTGCCCTCCTACCACCAACAGGGGACACATTCCCACTCAGAGCAGCGACGTAACAGGTCTCCTCAAAGCAGGGATTTCAATTTCTAGTCTACAATGCAAAAACTGCTACAAGTTTCTTTGTTTCTTACAAAAAGCTTTAATAAAGTCTCACCTCCTCGTCTTGAAGGTGTGAGGTGTGAATCCCAGAGCTCATGGCCTTACAGACAGCTTGGAAGTAGAAGGGACTGCTGTCCAGAAAGCGGTCTATGGCCCCTTGTGTCTTCATCCTCCCGACTCAGAATGTCAGTGGTCTGGCACCCCGGTGCCCTGAACCACTGCTTATAGGTTGACAAATACAAAAGTAGCTAGCACGTGGAATTTGGCACACTCTCAAAATGTGTTCATTTTAATAGATGAGGGAACATAATTGATGATGCGCTTTGCCTGTGGAGTTCACACAAGAGAGCCAGATCAGTGAGCAAGAGGTGGACGAGTTCACTTATTAGAGTCACTAAACACTTTATGGTAGGAGAGCTGTTTTTAAATTGACGAAATCCCTGTTTGCTTATCAGACATCAATGTGTTCCAAGAGTTCAGCATCGTTAAGGAGTCCACTAAAACGTGACCGTGTTTAAAGCTAAAGGCGGTGTGCTTGCAGAGGCCTGGTGCTTAGCTTCTGTTTCGAAGGAAGTCCCGACACAGACACAACCATGAGTAAGAGACTAACAGGAGAACTACTGGGAGCCCAGCTGGTCTTCCGGGTGTTAGGGAAGCGTGGGGACTGGCTTCTTGTTGGTCATGATGCGCAGAAGTGAGGGCTTGCCTCACCAGTGTCCACGGTGGCCATGTACAGTACACAGGCTGATGGGAAAGAAACAAGCCCGGGCTCCTGAGGTATCAAGTTTGGGTTGCTGAGAAAGGGATGGAGGACAAACACCAAAGTGTTCCATTGTGTCTGTTCCCTTCCGACAGGAGAAAGGCCCCTGAGCAAGCAGCCCAAAAGCTCTCTGGAACACACTGAGGGCTCTGTCTTGCGGATGCATGCTGTCCAAGTCCTCCATGTTTTCCAGGCACTTCCAGAGCCATGGGAGAAACCATCTCCAGCTTTTCTGGGCGACTTCAGCTCTCCACAGAGTAAAATCCACAGGAACAATTTCAGATCTTCCATCAAAATCACTATTTCATTCGCACAGTGGAGATCAGTGGACTTACATGTTTCGAATATTCATCTGAAATCAGTCAGAATGGAAATTTCAATTTTTCTGACAATTATTAATTATAAGCTTTTAATAGTATCATTGGTTATGCTTTAAACTGAAGATTTTTAAATTGTGAGGAACAAAGTTGACACATGTGATGGTCGGGGTCAACTGACAACTTGACAAAATTAGAATCACCTGGAGATGGGTCTCTGAGCATGGCTGGAAGGGATGCTGTTCACTGAGTTCAGGACGATCCACCCTGAATGAGGCCAGCACCATTCTACAGGCCAGCTCTGGACTGGACAAATGAAGGGGGACTGAGCGGCAGCCGTGCACCCATTCACTGTTCTTCTATTCTGACTGTAGACATAACGTGCCCGGCTCCCTCGAGTTCCTCACACGTGCTTCCTTGCCCTGGAGGATCGTGACCTGGGACTGTCAAATAATTAAGTTCACAATCGCTTTTGTTGAGTTGTTCTTGTCTGAGTATTTTAGCAAAGCAACAAGAACAGGCTCTAAGACAGAAATCGGTACCAAGAGTGGGCTCCCTGCTGTGATAAACCTCGCCATGTGGCTCTTCCCATCTTTTGAAGTGTTTTACAGCAAGAATGTGGGAGTTGGAATTTGGGGTTAGAAAATCCTTAGAGGCTGGAAGCAGAGCTTAGTGATCAGTTCTGATGGGATCATAGAAGACGAGAATGCTGAGAAAAAAATGCCCGGCTCCAGCAAAAGTTGGGAGCATGGGGGTGGGGTGGGAGGAGGGGGAGAGAGAAGGGAGAAGGGGAGGATTGGGGAGAGCTTGGGGGAGTGGGATGGTTGAGATGGAGGAAGGCGGATATGGGAGCCGGGAAGAAGATATCTTAATTAAGGGAGCCATTTTAGGATTGGCAAGAGACTTGGCTCTAGAGGGGTTCCCAAGTGTCCATGGGGATGTCCCCAGCTAGGTCCTTGGGCAGTAGAGGAGAGGGTTCCTGAACTGACCTTGTCCCATGGCCACACTGATGAATATCTTGAATATCACCATTGAAACTTCGTCTGGCGGTGGATGGAGATAGAGACAGAGACCCACATCAGAGCACTGGACTGAGTTCCAAGGTCCAGTTGAAGAGCAGAAGGAGGGAGAAGATGAGCAAGGAAGTCAGGACTGCAAGGGGTTCGTCCACCCACTAAGACAGTGTGACTGATCTAATGGGAGCTCACCAAGGCTGGCTGGACTGGGACTAAAAAAGCATGGGATCAAACCGGTCTCTCTGAACGTGACTAACAATGGGGGCTGACTGAGAAGCCAATGATAATGGCACTGGGATTTGATTCTACTGCATGTACTGGCTTTTTGGGATCCTAGTCTATTTGGATGCTCACCTTCCTAGGCCTGGATGGAGGCGGGAGGACCTTGGACTTCCCACAGGGCAGGGTACTCTGTCCTCTCTTAGGACTGGAGGGGGAGAAGGGAGGGTGAGTGGGGGAGCAGAAGAGAAATGGGAGGAGGGGAGGAAGTGGAAATTTTTAATGGTATTATTTATAATAAATAAATAAATAAATAAATAAATAAATAAATAAATAAATAAATAAATAAATTGCCGGCTCCAAGGACTCTGTCAGGAACTGAGCTGGGGACCATTTGTGTCATATTTGGGACAAGGATCTGGCTTCATCCTGCCCACATCCTGAGAACCTTAGTGAAGATGAACTGAAACATTACGGACTAGTTTGTTTGACAGAGGGCATGTTTGGACAGGAGAGTGTCTAGGATGGTGCTGAGAAGGTAGCTGAGGTTGTTAAAGAGATGATATATAATATGTAATTAATTCTTTTAATTTTTAAGCATGTGAATGAATTTGTGTCTGTGTGTGGGCATGTGCTGGTGCACACAGAGGCAGGAGGAAGAGTTAGAAGGTGTTGTGAGCCACCACCATGGTGCTGGGAACCAAACTGAGGACCTCTACAGGAGCAGCAAGTGCACTTAACCACTGAGCCACCTCCCCAGTCAGATTAAGGCACAATTGTCTCTAAATAGTGGGCAACAGCTTTCCTTGGTGTTCCCTTCCCTCCCCCAAACGGCACAATGGCTCTAACACTTATTCCAGGACTGGGATAAGCAGAAGACGGTAGAGACATCTGAGGACACTAGAAAGAACCCCTGGGGAGAGGTCTTTATTTCTGAAAATGTTCGAAAGGAGTTTCCAGAATGTTTCTGATGATTTCCCACTGCCACAGAATGAACTTGGCCTTAGAAACAAGGGCATAAGATTAAACAAATGCATGAAATTAGCCCCAACAGTGCCTGGCACATAGCAAGATTCACAACCCGTTACCAGTTCCTCCCCCGCTGAGCGTGTGCGGGTCTACACCACTGCTGCGTGTGCTGGAGTGGACAGATGTCGGAGGGGGTTACTGAGCCAACTCCAGTCTCCCAGACACTCACAGTCTTCTTAAACAGGGCCACTGAGCGAGGAAGGCGAACGGGAAGAAAGGCGCACGTTTGCTCTGCCACTGTCAGTGGCCCTTCCTGCGCTCGGAATCCGCAGCAGCTTCAAGCAGTTATAGACTTGGGTCTTATGCTATCCACCACTGCAGAGATGACAGCACCTGCAGCCTTCGCTCCCTCCACCAGGGCATGCTCCACCTGAAAAGCACAGTGGTTCATGGGACAGTGGGTACCAATCTCAGGCTGGCCCCCACCTCTGCTCCTACCCCTCCCATCTCCTTCAGGACCCAGCCGTCCTAGAGTCTTTTCCTCTAGGAGGGGACCACTTATGCTATCCTGCATCCTCAACATCCCTAAAGTTTCCAGAGACTCAGCAAAGGAGACATCCGAAGACAGGCACCCAAGGCAAGGCAGGCTCCCTTTCCCCTGGTCATGGACCCTCTGGCCTTTTTCTTCCCCAGGAGCCATTCGACATAGGATCGGCCTCCAGAGTAGTGCATGATGCAAGGGTCTCTCCATAGGAGAGGCTGAAGCCACTGAGGCCCTCATTCAAAAAGGGACTCTGAAAGCCAGGGAGGGAAACTCACCTGGGCACAACTGCACGTGAATCGGTATTCACACTTAGCTCAACCCCATGGCTCCTGGGCACACAGGACTTCAGAGGACCTCTTGGTGTGCCCTGTATTTGCAGGCAACTGCTCATGGGATGGGAGATCCTTCATACTACAGTCCGCCAAGCTCCTAGCACAAAGTCTCACAAGAACAGAGCCCAGGCAAGTCGAGGATACAGAGTGGAGAGGAGGATGCAGGAAAACAAAGTAGACAGAGGGAAGGGAGCATGCTCTAAGAGGCAAATAACAGGAAGATTTGACCCACTCTGTGCAGGGAAGATAAAAATCACAGGCGAAGCAAAAACCAGAAAATGATGTCCCCCCTTTAACCCTTGGGTTTTTTTTTAAATTATTTTACATATCTAAAAGGAGCTGCACATTCCCTCTGCTCATATCGTAAAGGTCAACTGTTAGTGAGAGCAGCTTAAATTGTTACAGATATTTGGGCTTCCGGGCTCTTTCACATGTGTTGTACGTCGTCTGTTACCACTGGCCTGTCTGAGCTAGGCAGGTGATGAGACAAGAGCTGGAAGACGGCACACCTATGCCTAGCTCCAAAGGTAGTCCAACAAAGCACAGTGAGGAGCCACTGGGGGCACTCGGAACGCACCTGTTGGCTCCTGGGCACACCGTATCTAAGGTTGTTGACAAAGTGCTCACAGTTCCCCTCAATCAGGCTATACTGCACTATCTTGTTGATCATGTTTTTTGTGCGCTGGATGATCTTGTCCACGGGGAGGGGCAGGTATGTCCCATCCAGCTTGTTGTTGATCTTCCAAGAGCAGCCATGCAGCACGTCCTCCAGTCGGCTGTACTTCACCACAGCACGGTTGCTGAAGATAGAAGTGATGCTGCCCACCGCAAACTCCTCACCTGGGGAGCAAGGACAAAAGGAAAGCCCCGAGGAGTAAGGGGTCAGGATACGCAAGACCTTTCGTAAGCCGCTTCCCATGAAGTTCTTAATCAAACCACCAATTTAAAGCATGGCAGAGGAGAAGAAATTGGATTAAATGTACCATAGAGGACCAAATTTCCTGAAAGATGCTTTTCTTGGGGATGACTGGAGGGGGTGCACATGTGGGTGGGAGGGTGTGCACACGTATGCTGGTGTGGATGCCTGTGTGGAGGCCAGAAGGCAGGGTCAATTATCTTCCTTAATCACTCTCCAGCTCTCCTAGAGCTCACTTGTTGGCTAGACAGGCTGGCCAATGGGCTCTGGGAATCACCTGTCTCTGCCATAAACAGATTTTTCATGAGCGCTGGGGATCTGTACTCAGAATCTCTTGCTTGTGCAGGAAGCACAATACCAACTGAGGCAGGCCCCACCCAAGAAATCTCACCTGAGTTACATGCTCTGTTCACCTACAGAAGAATCTCTCGTTAGTAACTCTGAAAATGCTTTATCACACAGCCCTGGACTAGACTGCACTGGCTTGACCCTGTCTTAGAAGCTGAGTCTTGTTTCCCAAGCAGATGTCAGTAATCTCCACCCTCTGTGTCACCCCTGGGTAAGGCTCTGTCGTGTGCATGATAACAGTGGTTCCATAACATGCCTTCCTCTGCAAGGGAATAGCGAAGTCACGTATGTGGGTCTCTGGTGCCTGCTCTACCACCATCCACTCAGAGCCATTGGTGTTTGTTACCACCAAGGAGGGACTTAGAAGCTTCGGGAAAAAAAACATTTAAAGGTGCTACATTCTCTCACACTCAGTGTTTAGAAGACATAGAAACTCCAAGAGCATCAGGAACCTGTCTGAGGCCACATGGGTAGACATTAAATACCACCTACAAGAGATGATTTTCAGTATTCTCATCAAAAAGAAATGATAGGGCTGGGAGCTGCTTAGTGGATAAAGCATTTGCCCACAAGCATGAAGAAAAAAGTTCATATCCTCAGAACACATGGGAAAGCCTGGCAAGAATGGAGGCCATCTGTAACCCCAATCCTTGGGAGGGAGAAATGAAGACCCCAAAATTGGTAAGCTGTAAGGTCCAGCTAGAGAGTGATCAAGAAAGACCCTGATATCAAAGTCTGTTGGCATGGTGTGCTGTAGGGTAATCCTTCTTATGCTGTGAATATGTATTACTCTCATTGGTTAATAATAAAGATGTTTGGCCTATAGCAAGGCAGGATAAAGTTATGTGGACAAACTGAGGACTGGGATGAGGAGGGCAGAGTTGAGAGAGATGCCAGTGAGCTGCCCAAGAAGCAAGATGTTAGAGTAATGTGGGTTCCCCTCTGTATGCTGTGATTATGTTTTATTGTCATTGATTAGTAAAGGAGTAGCTTTTGGCCAATGGCTTAACGGAGTAAAGCCAGGCAGAAAATCCAAACAGAGATGTAGAGAGAGAGTAGGTGGAGTCAACAAGATGCCATGTAGCCACCTCAGGAGACAGACGGAACATTACCGTTAGGCCACAACCACATGGCGATACACTAATTAATAGAAATGGGTTAATTTAAGATATAAGAGTTAGCTAGAAATATGCATAAGCTATTGGCCAAGCAGTGTTGCAATTAATACAGTTTCTGTGTAATTATTTTAGGCCTGGACAGCCAGGAAACAAACAAGCAACCTCTGCCTACACTAGAGGACAGGTAAAGCCATGAGCCACATGGAAATATATAGATTAATAGAAATGGGTTAATTTAAATATAAGAGCTAGTTTTTAATAAGACTGAGCTATTGGTCAAGCATTTTGTAATTAATATAAGCTTCTATGTGTTTATTTGGGATCAGACAATCAGGACAAAAGAAAAACTCTGCCTACATTTACAATGATGACATTTCAGGCCTCCACATGTGAGTGCAAGAAAACATGCATACACACAGAAACCATTATATGCACTTACACATACAAAGAAAAAAAACATTAGATGAAATGGATATGCTAACCACCTGTGTGAGGTCATTGCACATCGCAAAGCACTCTGAATCATACTGTATCTCACAAACATCTACGATTATTGTATCAATTAAGGACAGGACATTTTAAAAGGCTATTTCTCCACAGGAGCCACCTGGACAGTACATGTGTCTCTAAGATTTCCAAGAGCAAAAACAATAAAATAATTTAAAAAATTAAAAAGTCCCTTAGTCTATTCCTATGTGTCCCAAGAAAATCTACTAATTTTACAAAAATTATTTTACCTCCATTAACATCCCTACTTTGCCCCTGCAGTGACCACAGAGGAAAGAGCATTATGGGACCACTGTCAGCATGAACAGGCACAGAGATGACAGAATTGACCTTAGAGAAGGAGCTAGTCGGGGAGGGAGCCACTGCTAACCATCTCTTTAGCTATACAAGCAGGGTGTCTGGACACAGGCTGCAGGAAAAGGTGGAGATGGCTTTTTTTATACCATGCTTTAGTGTTTTTACTTATCCTTTGAAGATTTCATACAATGTATTTTGACCACCTTCTTTCTCCTCCCTCAGCTCCTCCCAGATCCTTCCCCTTGCCTCTTTGATCCGGCTCCTAGACAGAGAATGGAGACAGGAAGTGGATGGGGTTGAAAAGAGAAGAGGAAAAGGACCCTGCTCTGCAGGAAGGTCCTGCCAAGGTCAGGGTTGGAGCCCAAGGGAAAGCTCACAGGAATCAAAGCTGAAAATCAAAGACCTTGGCAGTGCCCTTCTGTGATTCCATTTTGAGCCAGCAAGAGCAAGGCGGCCACTGTGAACAATGGTTCCAGACCACGTTCAATTGTAAGTTATTTCATATTCCTCTGTAATTTCCCCCTGTTTTCACCATCTGGTCCCTCACCAAATCTCCACTTCGCTTTAATGAGCCCCACGCCCAGTCAAAATCGTAGGACATGAAATAAGGACCAGGTAAACATTTAGGTAAGGCAGCCTAGAGCACACTGGAACAGCAGGAAGACAAAGGCAGGAAGGCGACAAAAGATGGCAAGGAAGCAGGAAGCGGCAGTTAGGAAAAGTAGGAAACAAGCGACGTGAGCTTCTGCCCTCCGCGGTGTCTTTAGAAACATGAGGAAGGATGCTAAATGATTGTCATCAGAAACAGAGGTCGAAGGGACTTTAGTGACACTCTACACCCCTGTCATTCTTAATGCTGGACACGTGTGCTTACTAATAAATAAATGTCCAGGAATGTTTGGTGCTAAAAGGCAACGACTGAGTACCACAGTGATTGACTAGCCTTCTGTTGGTTTTGCTAACGTCCATAGCAGTATCTCAATAGCATGTCCACTCTTACTTGGGGGAGCCAGGTGAACCACACAGTCATCTTCTACGTAGATGGCCCAATGTTCATAGCCAATTCGAAAAATCTCAATGAGGTCTCCGGGTCTGGGTCTTGGTTTGTCCTATGATAGGAAGAAAGAGAGAGATAAACTGAATGTGTCCAGAGAACTCCAGAGCCACAGCTCAGCCTGTATGTAGGTCACCTCACTGTGGCCCATCGCTTGACAGAAATCCAACTTGAACCCTCTTCACCAGAAGACCAAGATGTCCCCTTCCCTGACATGATACCAGGTTGTCTGAGTCGGTGATCAGTGTGTGGACTCTCAGCTCTGAATGCACCAACGCATTCCCTGCAGTCCCTGTGGCACGTGCTGTAACTCCTAACACTTCTCCTTGGGAGCGAGCATATTAGGCTTTCAAAGTAGTGGGTGCTGGAGAATCACTGCAAGAGGAAGGAGCCTTGTGCCGCGTTAGGGGTGGACAGGCAGGATGCTGGTCACTACTGGGGTGCATAAAGTTCTGCCTTGGCTCAGAGTCCTCAGCACCATCCACCTTGCAGTCCTGGCCTGGGCCAGAGCTCTCTGCAGCATGCCTGATGTCATGACCAGTGACTAAAGGCCTGCCACCCTTACTGACAAGTCTGATTCCCTCTGCAAGTCACCCTAGGTGGCTCACTAGCAGAATCACCAGGGAACCTGTTATCAGATGACTTCAATCACATGGTGTGGGATTCCCCTCTGTATACTGTGAATACCGTTGGTTAATAAAGAAACTGGCTTGGCCTGATAGGGTAGAACAGAGCTAGGTGGGGAAAACTAAACTGAATGCTGAGAGAAGGAAGGCAGAGTCAGAGGAGAAGTCATGGAGCTGTTGCCAGAGACAGACATGCTGAAACCTTGCCAGTAGGCCACGAGCCTCGTGGTAAAGTATAAAATAATGAAGATGGGTAAATTAATAGGTAAGACTTAGCCAATAAGAAGCTAGAGCTAATGGGCCAAGCAGTGATTTAATTAGTACAGTTTCTGTGTGGTTATTTCGGGGCTGAGCGGCCAGGAACAAACAAGCAGCCTTACTACAGCAATCACAACTCTCCAACAAAGTCTGAACCTCCCCCAAAAGTGTGTCCTTCCCTGAGGACGTTCCCTCAGTCCTGAGAGGCCCTACAGTCCTCACAATTCACAGACAAAACTTTCATCAGTTTCATAATACTTAAAACTCCTCCAGTTCAACCTACAGTGTGGCTCCTGCCTGCTGATGCACTGTCTCTCAAAGAGGCCCAGAGGAGAAAGAATGCTCACCTGACAAGGTCTGTGTGTGTTTCTGTGTGTGTTTGTGTGCGGATGGGTATATGTGTGAGTGTGTCTGGGTGTCTATATGTGTGTGAGTAGGTGTGAGGGTAAATACGTGTGACCTGTGAGTGTGCAACTATAGGGGGTGGAGTGGTGTGTGTGTGAGTGTGTGTGTGTGAATTGTGAGTGTATATATGAGCATGTGAAAGCATTGGAGGCCAACAGGGATTGTGTGTGTGTATAAATATGGGTGCATGTGTGCGTGCGCGCTTCAGGAAGAGAATGAACATATCCATGAAGCGTAAGAACAACATTACAAATATAAGGGGCAGTGGTGGCACACGCCTTTCATCCCAGCATTCAGAAAGCAGAGGCAGGCGGATCTCTGTGAGTCTGGAGCCAGCCTGGTCTAGGTCTAGAGCTAGTTCTAGGACATCCAAGGCAATGCAAAGAAACCCTGTATCAAAAATAAAAAAAACATGAGGAGCATCCAGGTCATTAAAAATTATTTATTAGAGGCCAGTGAGGTGGCTCATCGAGTTAAGGCACTTGTCCCCAAGTCACATGACCTGCGCTCAATCCCCAGAACACATACAGTGAAAGGAGAGAACAAACTCCCACACGTTTGTCCTCTGATCTTCACATAAGCACTGTGGCATACAGACACACACACACACACACACACGCACACGCACATGCACATGAACATATACATACACATACACATGAACACCACCAAATAAACTTGTATTAAAAATAATACAAGTTGGGTGTGGTGATACATGTCTTTAATCCCAGCATTCAGGAGGCAAAGGCAGGTGGAACCCTGTGAGTTCAAGGCCAGCCTGGTGTACAGAGTTCAGTTGTTCTCAACCTGTGGATCGTGACCCTTTGGGGGTCAAATGATCCTTTCACAGGGGTTGCCTAAGACCCTCTGCATATCAGATATTTACACTGCAATTCATAACCATAGCAAAATTAAAGTTATGAGATACCAACAGAAATAATTTTATGGTTGGGGGTCACTCCAACATGAGGATCTACATTAAGGTTTGAAGCATGAGGAAAGTTGAGAAGTACTGGCATAGTGAATTCCAGGATAGCTGGGGTTACATAGAGAGACCATCTCAGAATATCAAAAAAATTAATAATAGAAGTAAAAATATGCATTGGTCACTTAATCCATGCCAACTATCGCTGTTCTGGGCATTAAGAATGCAGATCAGTCTGGAACAGTTCATAACAGTGGAGGCAGAGAAATTATTAAGAATGTTCACTGGTGTGTCTGGGGAAATGTGCAAAGGAAGGTGAAGGGCAATTGGGCAGATGAGCGAATACAAGTGTGTGTGCACGCGTGTGTGTATTGCATGTGTGCGTGCGTATATGCACACATGCGTGCAGCATATGTGTGCCTGCTGACATTACACAAATACCTGCGGTTCCATGTACACATAACACACATGTACCCCAGTGTGTGCCCAGTAATTGATTTCCTGCTGCAATCACCAAAATTCCTTTATCCTTTCTAGTCCAGTAACAAGCTCTTAAACATAAGATTTCTTTTAAAGAAACAATCTTTTTTATTTTACATATCAATCCCAGTTTCCTCTCTCTCCCCTCCTCCCGCTCCCTCCACCTTCTTCCTAGCCTGCTCCCATCCATTCCTCAGAGAGGGTAAGGCCTCCCACGGCAACAAAGTCACTTGAGGAAGGACCAAGGCCCTCCTCTCTGTATCTAGGCTGAGCAAGGTATCCCTCCATAGGGAATGGGCTCTAAAAAGCCAGTTTGAACACTAGGGATAAATGTTGGTTCCACGACCAGAGGCCCCACAAACTTCCCAAGTCACACAACTGTCACAAAACATTCAGAGGGCCTAATTCAATCCCAGACAGGCTCCCCAGCTGTCAGTCCAGAGTCAGTGAGCTCCCACTAGCTCGGGCCATCTGTTTCTGTGGGTTTCCCCATCATGATCTTGACACCTTTGCTCATAATATCGCTCCTCGCTCTCTGTGACTGAACTCTAGGAGCCTGGCCTGGTGCTTAGCTGTGGATCTCTGCATCTGCTTCCATGAGTTACTGGATGAAGGTTCTATGATGACAGGTAACCAGCCTACAGTCCACAACCCCAGAGAAGCCAGGAAACAGGGACCCTAAGAGATACATATATGGATCCCCCTAGAAAGGAGAAATAGACAAGATCCCCTGAGTAAACTGGGAACATGGGGGGAGAGGAAACAGAAGAAAGAAGGGGAGGGAGGAGAGGAGAAAACATGAGGGATCAGGAAGGTAGAGTTGGGGGAAAGACAGAGAGGGGGAGCAAGGAAAGAGATATCTTGATAAGGGAGCCATTATGGGGTTAGCAAGAAATTTGGCACCCGGGAAATCCCCAGGAATCCATCAGGATGAGCGCAGCTAAGAATCTAAGCAATAGTGGAGAGGGTGCCTGAACTGCCCTTCCTGTAAGCAGATTGATGGCTACTTCAACATAAGATTTCTAACCTAAGCTCTTTTTCCTGGACGGCCTCCCTATCCCCTAAGTGTATCAGGGAGTGGTCCTGGGAGAGAGGCTTGCTCGCTGCTGCCCAGATAGGAAGTCAGAGTCAAGAGAGGTGTGAGCTACCAGATGTTCCTGTCCACACAGCTCCTGTTGTAGGAGTCTGCCTGTTTGTTCCCAGCTGCTCAGCCCCGAAATATTTCTGAGAGAATGTTGAGCACTGAAGACACTCCACTTGGAATCTGTTTTCCTCTTGGCACAATTGGCCTTTGGGCAGGGAACTGCCCATGCATCAATCACTGACAAAGTACATGGTGTCCGGACTGGACAAGCAGGACAAAGGAAAAGGACTGCCAAACCTTGCCAAGACAGGGTAAGACGGTTCTGGAAATTTTTCTGCCTCTGAAAATGGTCTGTCAGTTATACTAGGCCCTAGCCAAAATTGGTTGCTTCAACATTGCAAACGAGACTTTGGGTGATTGCTCAGGTAGCCAGTTGTCTCTGTCATCTATTGCTTACTTTGGAAGCTGCTTGATTGTACTTCCTGCCTACTCAAGTAATATTATCTCCCTTCTCAGGCCTTCAATGGGGCTGAAGATTAAATAGTCCTAGTTACCTTCCTCTTATGATTTAGCCAATCCATTTCCAATACAAGACTTAGACTCTTTAGAATAGAATGTTTATTAAACATTTAGCATATGTTCCTTGCTTAATATTGTTTATGTTGGCTGTAACCCTAATTTTATACTTGATATCTGTTCCTAATATATATAGCTTTGTATTGGGTTTGGAACTCTCTTATTTAGACAAAAGGGAAAGGTGATGAGAAATCTCTGTCAGCCAATGAACTTTAAGGGATGAGACCAAGTTAGGGTGTGGCTTTCTGGGACCTGAAGAAAAGCACCTGGCGACCCAGGGTTCTCTCTCTGTCTCTCTCTCTCTCTGTGGTTCCCACGCTACACAGCTGAGCTTGGACTTCTCATTCCTGTTTCGTGAGTTCACCCCATATAATAAAGGAAAATATAATTGGTCTATCTTGCAGCTAGCCTGGTATTTATCAACCCACGATAATTCAACATGCTCCTTATCACAAATATGTAAGTTTCTCAACCACTGCTTTACCAGAACAAGAATTCAGACAGAGGAGCTGGAAAGATGCTCAGCCATCTTCTAGCAGAGGACCTGGATTTGGTTCCCAACACCCACATCAGGTGACTCCCAACTGCAGCCCCAATTCCAGGGCATCTGACACTTTTCTGGATTCTGATTCTCCTCCTCACCTAGGGCTATAGGCGGTTACTGATTGTCTAGTAACCCACACAGACCATTTCTGTATCTA